GGCCTAGGTACCTTGGAGGGAAAGGAAAATAAAAAAAAAAAGGTCTTTTTGTTAAGCTTTTTATGCTTGTGGTGTTCAAAACAGTTCCAAAAACCAGGCACTACCAACAGAGATAACTTTCCATCTCTTGAACATGCAAACTAGGAACTAGTTCTTACTGCAGCTCATCTAATGAGTACATCTTGATCTGATCTGCTGTCTTGGACTGTATTCCATCTTATTAACATAAAAATATGCAATTATTTCCAATAGATTCTGATCTACTGCAGTTAAAACATCCAGATTTTGACAGCTGAAGGCACTTGTATGCATGAAATATTTATTTAAGAAGTTAGGGAGCAAGAAGGAATGACATCATATCAGGTAAGAGCTCTGGCCAAAGATTAAACCCCATCTGTGCATTAATCTGAGATAATAACGAAACACTGTGTACTGAAAACTGAGTGTCCAATTAACTGTGCGTTCCCAAATTCATTCCTATATCTGACAAGAGGAGCAGTTAAACCAATCTTTTTTTTTACATTCAAAGTGTATTCTTTATCTTTAAAACGAAGTTAAAAAGCTGTACAAGAGGCTAGGCATGAGCACTGGGTGATGATGTGCACACAGACAAAATGTTTTCAGGTTGTAACAGGTAACGTCATAATGGAGTAATTAAGGGAGGTTTCAGATTGGAAAAAAGCATGACTGGTTAGTTAGTACCAGTTAGTTCAAAACTTTTGCTCTTGCTTGAAATGTTGTTTGGGTTCTGGTATCAGGTTCCTGCTGTGCTCCTGCCCTCCCATGGACAGCCAGGATGGCATTTGAGGTGCAGGGACAACAGGGCTCTCTGTGTGTGCTTGGTTTCCAGTTAAGCAATTAAATGCACTTTAAATTATGGGGAGAAAAAATTGCTGTGTTGGCTCTACCGCATAAACAACAGGAAAAAACAGAACCCCACTAATGGTATCTCTCATAGCTCCGGGGTTTAAGCTGTGGGTGGTACCTGCTGCATCAAAGTCCCTTTCTGACTGCAGGAGAAAACAGCAGAGATGATGTGGGGAGGAGGTGTACACCAAGGGTGTTGGTATGTCCTGTTCTGCTCCCATGGGGCACATGGGGAAGGGAAGGGAAGGAGGAAGGGTCACTCCCCAGGTTTACACCTTCCCTGGCAAAGGCCTCAGCCGAGGCTGATGGCTGCTGACCTGCACTGCAGCCAGGGCTGGGACCGGGGCCTTGGGTGGGAAAGCACAGACCAAAAGTGATTCCTGGTGCAGTCCATGTCTGGTTTGAGGTCTGTGTTTGCTTTATCACTTCACCCAAAAAGAGCATACTGGCAACAACTGAGTGGTTTATTTTCTCTGTTGCTGTAGACACCGTTGTCAAGTCTCAGAGTTTGCTGTAAATAAGTCTACAGTATAAAATGGCATTTCTTCTCTCACAGTGTCAGTTTCCTGCCTCCTCTTTCTAGCAAGTCTTTCAGGCATTTATTTTGGAAAATCTAGAAAGATGAGTTATGCAGTGGTCTGGCTTGGCAGTCACCATAAATGCTGAAATGGGGCAGGAATGCTGCTGGTGTGGTGGCATTTGGCTTCAGGTCGCTGCTGGGGCTGTGCCCCCACCTTGCTCTGCCTATAGCTGGGGTAGTCTTTGGCAAGAGTCCCACCTTTACCTCTCCTTGTAGCACAAGTGGTTGTTGCTGCTGTTTTGAGCTGCCAGGAGCCCAGCTCACAGCTACAGAAAATAAATGCGCTGTGAACTGATTGATTTATCTGCTTTTTCTAGCCCAGCAATTAATTCTGCTTTTGAGAGGCAGAAGCAAAGCAGCAAGCGGGCTGTGAAGCCAGATCAGAGCTGATAATGTGTTTCTCCCTCTGTGGCCCTGTGCTAGCACAGAGACCAGCCTATCAAGGAATAATCTCCCAGAGCATTATCCGGCCCCAGCGAGGATCATCACCGGCTGCAGCGTGGCGGAGCCGAGCCTGGCAGTGGCTGGAGACAGAGCAGGGACCCAGAGGTGCCAGGGGCAGGAGGGGGTGGCAGCAGGGGCTTGGAGGTGGTGGTCACCTGCTGCTGCCCTCCCAAGAAGCCACGAGGCTGCAGCCTGCTGTCAGGGCTGGCAAGGCAATGCTCTAACCCTGCTTTCTACCACATTGCTTTCAAACTCATTATTGCTCCCCAGGTGCGCTTTCTGCTCATCTGAAGAGCTCAGCGGCCCTAAATGTAACACAGCCCTGTGCTGATGGCTGGGGTGTCTGCGTGGGTTGCCCGTGGATGAGTGTTGGTCACTAGGGCCAGCACGTGGGGCTGGTGGCTGCACACGCTGGTAAATGTGAGGGCTGAGGGCAAACTGGGGCAGGTGGGAGGTTGCTGAGGAGCAGCAGTTGGGAAATGGTGTCAGCAGATGCCCAAGGTGCCCACGGCAGCACAGGCACCACGGTGGGCTCTCGGTCGCAGGGCTGTGGGGGTCTTTGGGGAGCACGGGAGCTCCACGAAGGCAAAAGAAGTAAGCTGAATCTACAGTCTCTTCTACAAACCTCTTTGTTTCAGTCAAGTGGAATCAGTATGGCTGTGTTTTTTCATCCTGAATTGTGTACTTTATGTGTGTCTTGCAGCTCAGGGCTGAATTGTTCACGTATGTACAAACAGAAAAGTAAAAACCAGAAACATTGCATCCACTTTGAGGTATGCTCTGATGTTCTTAAGTCAGGGCCAAGAAAGTCATGTGAACTCTTAACCAGCAAACAACAGGTTATCAAAATGCAAAATCTCATTAAATCAATACCTGAGCACAAAAAAAGACAGACTTTGTCTTCCCTGTGGTATTCCTGTTGATTTTTATCTGCAGAAGGACAGATGGAGCTCAACAGGCTGTGCTTACCTGAGACAGTCACCTTCTGAAATGAGGCACTGGTACCAGAACAGGTTCTGTGCCTGTGTGTGTGTGTGTCTGGAACATCTCCAAATCTGTAAATGTAAATCATGGGAGCACACCTAATGGCAAGCCCAGATATTGCTGTGCTGTTGCTCTGGATTCAGCTTGTAAGCTCAGAGATCTGTAAAAGAATGCAAAACTGTGATGCTCTTCTTGCAACATCTGTGGCCTTTGGTTTGAGATTCAGCTCTCATTAAACGTGTTGGTGTGGCTTTTCCTTTAGCATGGAGAGGGTAAATGTCAGGACAGGGGTGTGGGATGATGACTGGGCTGTGCCTGTCTTGTGTTCTGTTGAAATGACAAACACCTGCTGAGGTTGAAGCTTTATGGAGTCCCGGTGCCTTCCTAATGCCGGCAGCGAGTAAAGAGCTCCTCTTCATCAAAATTCAACCTCAGGGCAGGGCAGAATGGCTCCCTCCAGCCTCGAGGATCCAGATGAAGTTTCTTGGAACTGGTGGCCTGTGCCCACCTCCTGTCATCACAGATATGTCCTGTCAGCAGGGCCACCATCCTGCTCCTCCTCGTGTCCTGCAGGGATGTGGTACCAACTATGCTGGGCACCCCTGCCTGAGGAGCTGCCTCTGGAGTTTGGAGCAATTATCTGTGGCTTTGCAGACCTGAAACTGTGCAGCCCAGGGTAAGAATGTGTAATAGTTTTCCAGATACCTCCCCCTCCCTTCCTAAAGAGATGCCTTGAGTTTAAAACAAAGCAGTCCATTTAAAACAAAAGACTAATGAATATGGTAGCCCTTCCTCTTTTGCAAGTTTAAACACCTCATCTTTCCTCGGAGAACAGCTCTAAATCATTTTATTTGCAAGCCCTAAGCAGGAATTTGTATTCATGGTAAGACATTTATTGAGTTAATTTATTTAAGGTTGAGGCATAATTTCTAATAGTGGAGGAGTCCCTAGGCCCAGTGCAATTGTCTCCCTGATAGGGCATTAATATTTTAAGGGGTTATAATACCCTGTCAATTGATCTGTGTCTTTTAGAGAGTAGGTTAGCAGTTATTGATGGTTGATTGTGTGAAGGATTAGCTTTAAATGAAGCTGGTGCTTGGCAGGCAGGGAGGGGGCCCAGGGCCTGGGGCAATGGGTGTCAATGGAGTGTGGAGGGAAAATAACTCAGTGCACACCTGGAGGGTGGTGCTGCTCTGCACCCTGGGGGAAGACAGCGGTGCCTCCGTGTGGATGGCAACGCTGCTGCCCACTAGGACTTCCTGCAGAGATGTGAGATTGGGTGTGATCTGAGCGAGGAGATGAGTTTGGGTATGATCTGAGTGAGGAGGTCTTGCCATGTGTCCTGCAGGAGGCTTGTCCATCTTGCCAGATAATCTATTACTGATGATAAGAGACAAATAACTTGACCTCCGAGTATCTTAATTTCTCTGTTGAGAACATTTCTGTTGGGAACATTTCTGCTGTTTCATGACTTATTTAAAAAGAGGACAATTCCAAACAAAAAAAAAATTCTTGCTTGTTTTACTGCTGTATTAAATCCTACATTGCACTAAGAAACATGGTGCTGAATGGCCTTTAAGAACAAAGTAACTTGGAAACCAATCCAGATGAAATATCTTTCAGAAAAGCCTGTCTCAGGGAAGGGATGGCAGGACCACTGAGGCCCAGGCAGAGCTGGCCAGGGCATGTTCAGACCCTCTAAGCCCAGGCTGAGGATACTGAACTCAGCACTGAACTACCCCATGTGACAGTGCCATGGCCAAGGATGGGGGACAGCGTGAGCTGTGAAGCTGCTGACAAACTGTTGGCAAGATCTGACAAACCTGAAAGGATACCAAGGTGGCTTCAGAGCTGTCATCTCCTGTCTGGTATTTTGGGTGGACTAGCTTTAGGTTTTCTTATACCCCTCAGAGGCACCCAGTTGGTGGGAAGCACTGACTGCAGGAACCTGAGTGACAACTGAGACCATCTGAGGGTGGCTGTGTTGGGCCACAGCTCTGCCCCTGGGACACCAGCACACAGCCCCTGTGCACAAGGAGCAAAGCAGAGGCAAACAGCATGTGGGGCACTTGGATTCAAATCCAGTGTCTTAGTGGCAACTGCTGTGGGACAAGTCAATCACAGCTTTTCAGTACTGTGTCTGCTTCTAACTCTTGTCCAGGAGTGACTCTGTTGGTGTGACGAGCTCTTTGCAGCTGTAAGGTCACCCAGGGAACGGGCACAGGGGGACTGGGCTGCCAGTCATACAGCCAGGTAATCCTGCCATGCCAAAGCACTGTGACAGCGTTACAGGTGTTGTAAAGAAATGTAAATTGTTCGCACTAAGCTGCAGTGGCCTGCTGTGGATGTGTTCACTGGCTTTCAGTATAGGGTTTTATTTACTCCTGTATAAGTTATACCTCTTAATGCAATAGGTAGAAGCTAAATTCTAAAAGCTCCATTCTGACCCATCAAATGCTGGAGCTTTGTGTTTCTATGTGCATGGCTTATTGTTTATACTGATTCTTCATTGAGGAAAAATGAATGTTGGTGTTGAAGGACATGCAGCTGCAGTGCAGCTTTCACTGTGCTGCTTGCAAGGTCAAAATAAATGTACTGGGTAAAAGTGGGATAGGGAGGTACTCGAGACATTACGTGGGTGGTTTACCCCTAAAAATTTCTGTGGAGAGGATTGTTTCACTGCCCTGCAGAAACTCAGACTAATAGATGTGTAAGATGGATGATCACGTCTGAACTGCGCTCCTCGAGGCCCCATCTCCTGTTTTTTCTTCACGTGCTCATTTGTCAGCACGTTGTCAAACCTTCAATTAACGCGTCACTGGCAGCTCCGCTCACCCTCACTCTCTCCCTTCAGCCCCGTCGGGTCCTTTCCCCTCCTGGGCAGGGCGCTGCCCACGCACACACAGCCCTCCCTCCCGTGCTCAGCCAGAGTGGAGACAAAATAAAGCGCTCCTGTCCATCAGTCCTTTCCTCCTCAGAGAGGTCAGCGAGTCCCTGCTGCTTTTCCTGCTGCAGGGCTGGGCCAGGGCACGTAGCAACTGCTCAGCTAAATTAATTCATTGCTGAACACCCCCACGGGTGTGGCTGCCACGCACGGGGCAAAATCCTCCCAGCACAGGGCTGCAAGGGAAACTGGCTCCCTTTGTCAGGGCCACCAAAGATGGCCAAGCAAAGTAATCCCAAATTACCCACTGCATCTGCACAGTTTATTTTACATTTACCCGTTACCTGGAAAACTGGAAGAAAAAAGTCCACATGTTCACTGAGGACTTTGTGGCCATGTGTTTGCTGTAGCCTTTTGGTGAATCGACCGTGCCCCTGGTCTGATACAATGTGAGAATAATCAGATGTCTGAAGTATTTTCTCTACGTGTTCCTTTATCTTTCTGTCCCTCTATTCCATTCACTTTAAAAATAATACACTAATTCATTCTTTCCAAATTCAGTTTACATGAGAATCTTCCTGTAATAATACCTTTTATTTCCCATTTCCTCCTCTAGCACACCCAGAGCTGAGCAGAGCACTTTTAGTAAAGATCCTTGTACCCATAGTTGTTATCCTCTCCTTTCCACGTACAGTTTGGAGGCGCTCAGGGAACACCCCTTCATGCCCTGTGAGGGAATTAATCTTGAGCACAAGGTAATCTTGAACAAGTGTAATTACATCTCACATCAAACACTTGCACACGTACAATGGATGAGCCGCAGGGAGCAGAACTGCGGGGGTGGGAGGGACTGCATATATAGGGTTACAGTCACAGGGTTGGCAAGGAGAGAGCAGCAAAATCATAGAAAGCAGCGTGGCTGGGCTGTGATCTGATCTATCTGCCTTTTGGGAGAGGTCAGGTTTGCCAGCTGACTGAACCTGAAGGCACTGCCCATCTGAGCTCGGGGATCTGCAGCCACGGGAGAGTGACAATTGCAGGCAAGTTTAGATTAGACTTAAGTTATCTAGAGCAGGAGAAAAGAGCTGCCTGGAGCATGCCAGATTTCTGTATAAAATTGTAATTATGTATAAATTTAATGTACATTGTATGTTTTCAACTTTAACAAATTGACCAACTAGAAGCCAAACTTGACGTTTTGGAGCGAGAATTCATTTCACGTAAGTAAATCTCAGAAATCTTCTTTTTTTTATATAGAATTTAGGACTTTCTGTGTGTATTTCAGGAATTCAGGCTGCAAGCTGCAGCAGGCCTGTGTACCATGTTGGAGGAGCAGATGTGAGCATAAACTGCCACTTCCTATGAGCAGCTTGAAGGATGAGAGTTTATATCTTGAAAACATAAACCCAGGCCTGGTTTTAACTTCCTTACATAAGGGCTGAATCCAGTTCTATGTAAACCCATGTATGTTGGAGTTGCTTCTGGCTTTCATTGGCACAAATAAGAGGGGAATCAGGTGTGTGGTTCATGGGGTGTCATAAATAACAGGCCAGGGTCTCCCCCTCCCATACTATGTGTAAAGGGTATGGATGTGAATGCACGTACCACTCACGGTACCAGCAGGTATGAAACAAGGAGTGGGCTCTGTATCTGCAAGTGACCTGGTGTTTGTTTGTCTCACATAGCCTGGGACACCTCTGGGGTGCCAATGGGCTGCTCCTGTCACCTGCCAGATAGTCCTGCACAGTGCTGAGGTAGCTGTGCCCCAACACAGCAGGGCTCACCTCAGCCGTGCCTGCTGCTCCTGGAATGGACAGGTCATTTTTCATGTGATGTAATGACAGTGACATGGATGGAAAGAATCTATTTTTTACCGAGAACGGAAGTTCACACAGGGTCTTGAAGGATTTCTGCAAGTACCACGAATTCACCTTTTTAGTGGTCCGTGATTCCAGATAACCACTCAGGGCTACTGAAAAAAAAAAAAGCAAATAGCAGAATGAAGCAGTTGGTGTCTGTCCCTGGGCAGGCAGCTCTCAGCACTGGGGTCACCCTGCCACAGCCAGCACCTGCCTTGCTGGGGCCTGGGCTGCCACAGTGTCTGCTCTGGAACGCACCTCCTGCTCTTCCAGGCAAAAATTGGCCAAATAATGATCTTCTAGGATTGGTCAAGTTCTTAAAGAACCTGGTTGAGTTTATGTTTTCCCAGACAGGGAAACCAGAAGGGCAGAAAAAGTGTCCAACCAAAGTAGAAGCTTTCTGAGGTTTTGACAGAATACAAATGCATGTAAGACTTAAGTCAACATGAGACATTCCTTTCAACCCCAAATTATGTGCTTTGGTTTACCTTCTCTTATTTCACACACTGGAAGTCTTTTCTCAATAGCTTGTTTTAGTCAGAAAATATTATAGGCATGAAAGGAGATTTTTGAAGGTCGAAGACCAGAAACAGTCTCAGTGTTACCAACCTATGGGTGCAGATGCTGTTTCCAGGTTCTCCCACTTCCTTTACCTCCACCAGCTTCCAGTGTTCCCTTTTGTTCTGACCAGCCAAGGACCTCACATATCTGTTGATATGTGACAGGATCCCACCAGCAATGCAGTTCTGTAATAATGGGTTTTGTTTTTTCTGAATTTATTTTAATGTCAAGTAACTAACGTTTCCAGTAAGAGTGCTTGCATCAAAAGGTACAAAAATGTTTTCCTGTTAACTCAGTTCTTTTCCTTGTAGTCATTCTGGATTTTCTTCTGGCCTGCCAAAATAAATATTCAGCATTCAAAAATTGTAAAAAATAGTAATTATTCTTTTTTCTTGGAAGAACAAGCTTTAAAGTTTAAAGGAAAAGTATTTCAAAAATAAGTTCAAAATTGAGGAAATTAAGAGGCTAGATCATTTTAAAGACCTTAATTTTCAGCTGATCTAGTGATTTGTGGGGTCAAAATTTAAAAATTTGAACAGCCTTCATAATATATCATCAGTATACCTGATCTTTCACAGCAGCTGTCATGCCAGGAACCTTTCCTTACAGAATCCTCTGCCCATGCACTTTCCCAAAGCAGTTGTCTTTCAGGATCAGACAATTGCTCACAGTTGCCTTTGCCCAGCCTGAAAAAAAAGAAACTTTAAAAAAAGAGAGACATTATATCTGTCTTAAAACACTCAAAACCTCTTCTAGACAGACAAATATTTTGAGCTGGAAGTGACAATTTGGCAGAGCCAGCGAAGTCTGATTCCAGAGTGTGTGATGCTTTGTGCCTCCCCCATCGTTTTGTAATTTTATGTGGCAATTATTATGTTCCTGTCAGTGGCCAAAGGAAGCCCAGCACAGCACAGCACAGGGCAGGGCAGCCACCAGGCAGCCATGGCAAAGCCAAACTTTTCAGCTGAAGTCTAATTTGTAAAATTCACTTCTTTCTAGAATTTACTCTTTAAACTACCTGGACTAATCCTCCTTCTTTCCCATCAGAAGTGTGGTCTGACATTGCTGTAAGTGGGTAAATAATTCTCTCTCTAGCCCTGCATCATCACATTATAATGAGGAGCACTAGATAGCATCTGGAAACATCTGAATACCGTGTTCAAAGAATGCCCTGAAAGTGCAAAGCCTTGTTAGGAATTCAGATGTTGGACAAGTATTAGAGCATATTTTGGTTTGAAAAAAAGCACCCTTTCTCTACTGGGATACCCTGCATTTGTGGTGCTTGAATGTTCAGGTGGTTTTGCTGGCTCTGAATGGTCAATATTGTTATTTTCTGGAGCTCTGTGACACAGCACTAGAGCTGTGCCTCCAGCTGAGGAGCCAGAGTGTCCTCTGGGCTGTGGGCAGCTGCCACAGGGAGAATCTAACCCAAGCAGAAAATGCCTGATATTTGGGTAATTATGGAGCAGCCAGGATGGAAGCTGAGGCCCTAATTGCCCTGTGTGATGAGAGAGGCACTGGGTCTGAAGGAAAGGTGTGTGATTGGAGCAGCACTTCAAACTGGGAGCAAAAAATCAGAGTGGAGCAGTGCAGAGCTCAGAGCTGCCCACCGTGGCACCTGCTCCAAGGCCAGCATGAGCCCATGGAATCTCAGGCCAGAAGCCAAGACTTGGTTCCACTCCCAGAAAAGTCAACGAAACCCATTTGAAGTGAAATGATTTCATGCTGTACTGCAGGCTGAGTGACTTGGCAGCATTACTGTTAATAGCATGGATCTATCCCAGGTACAGTTAATGGAGCACAGAGTTACAGCACTTCTGTGTAGCTGGTTAGTGGAGCCTGGGACTAAAAGATGCTGAAACTGTCCTCTGTGGGCAGGATTTCACCTGGCCTTTGGAGTCTGACTGCTCTGGGAACCCTCCCAAACATTTTCCTACTTAATAAATCCCTTCCCACAGTGCCATTCTCAACACCTTCTAATGGCCATCCCATACTGATAGAAGAGGGGCTAAAATTTGTCAAGGGATTCAGGACCTGAGCTATCACCAGGGTCTTTTATGTGGTGTTAAGACAGAATGTGCTGAAAAATGACACTAACCAGGAAAAAGGGCAGGAACCATTGTGTATCAGGAATATTAAACTCATAAAGTGATGGTTTTGACTGTGCAGCATTTCTTTTCCGTGTCCCCTTCCTTTAAAATAGTTTTTCTTAAACCACAAAACCTTGCCTTTCTTTTCTGCTTCACAGACAAGCAGAGCAACCACAGAAACAATCTCTGGAGATGTTCTGCAGATATTTGTCCTTCTTTGGTCTGTGTCTTTTCCTTCCAACCCAAAGGTAAGTGGAAGGTTTGTTTTGTTTTACAGAGAACATTTGAATTATGTTTCACATAAATAATGTGGGCCAAAAGGAAACTATGCTTCCAGTTATCCAGCCCATCCAAAGGATGCAGGAAGGGATGTGGCATAGAAAAGAGAAACCTGCACAGGTCCCTAAACCACAATATGTCCATTACTGGTGCAACCCCTGATTTGCTTGTTCAGAACCAGTGCACAGTTTGTAGGTTTTTGCTGGAAATGCCCCCCCCCCACCCCCCCACCCCGGGCTCCCAACTCTGTTATTACCATCCTTGGACCTACAAGTCCCAAATTTCTTTTAATTCTTAGTGTATAAAATGTGCAAAAACTGGTTCAGTTCTGCTGTGAGCCCCTGTGTGGCCTTAGAACCTGCAGCTACAAGGCCTATTAACCCAGCTTTGAAGGGAACAGAAGAAAAAACACTGGTAAGAGCTGTGAGTAAACCCATGGCTGCTTCCTGCCCAGAGCAGGGGTCCTGAGACTGGGAGTGGCAAAGGCTCTGCCTCCCACACCTCCTCCTGCCCTGCCCAAAGCAGTTACAAACTGCACTGCCCACGAAGCTCTCTGGGTGTCTGGGAAGCTCACAGTGCTCCACCTTTCCTCTCCCAGTGTTAGTCCTGACAGTAGCTGTGGGGACTGTCTGACACTCACATCTGAGGGTGAGGCTTCTTTAGGACACTGGAGATTAGGGAGGAGGAGCTCTTGGGCAGTAAGATTTGTCTCAGGTTGTCCTAAGCAGAAGGGAAAAAGAAATGACTGTACAAGAAGGAGTGGGAAGGGGAAATTGGGGGTTATTGTTAAGACCTGTGATCTATAGACTTTGCTTGATATCTCTGTGATATTTTAGGAAGGGCCTTAAGGTACTGTGTGTAAAATCTGTAGCTATAAGCTGAGGCAGTTTGCCATTTTCCCACCTCTTCAAGGTGCTAATTATTCAGCCCAGGTAACAGTGTGAGCAGGTGCTTGTAATTTCAATTATCTACTTGTTTTTAGTAACTATTTTATGCAGTTTGTTTGCTTGTCCGAGCACAAGCTGGAAACGCAGCTGCAGCTGCACACCAGATGTGCCCAGCCCACGCATCACAGCTCGTATTTGTGTCCCCAGCAGGGGCTCCCTGGGCCACGTACCCAGCTCGCACAGCAGCGACACAACATCCCTGCCTGGATTTGAGAACCTCACCGTGGGATACAACAAATACCTGCGGCCCTACTTTGGTGGTACGTTGGCTCCACGCACGGGAGCGTTTCAGGAACAGCCTGCAAGGCTGGTGTGCAGGGGATGCTTCCAGCTTGCTTTAGGATGCTGCAGCTTGAAAGGTTGTGTTTCTTTCATATTAGGTGGTGGCCAGGGCTGCCCTTCCTTCCTGAGCATCCACTGTTGTTGAATAGCTGGTGCAGGTAGGTGTGGGGCTTGAGAACACGTCCATCTGTGAGGCTGAGAGCAGGGAATTTATAAACTGCAACATCTCTAGGAAAGACCTGACCAAGTAACCAAATTCTGTTCTAATTGTACAAGCTTTTGTTTAGAGCCTGAGCCTTTGATTTTCTGCTTTACAGCTGGTCATGTACAGCTATTTAGTAGATTGCAGCTATAGAGGAACAAAGGCACTCTTCTTGCCAGGAATATTGACTTTTCTTCCCACTGAGATACAAATGTGCTTTAAACCCTGGTGAGCCTTTGGAGAGTTGGGAGCAGGCAGGCATTTACGAACTTACCTGAGGCTATTGACCCATTTTGGTGTCAGGTCTCCCACCTGCCAGGTGAGTGCTGTAATCACACCAAGTAAAAGGTTTCTCAGAATGACATTCAGCCTCTGAAAAATATCAATGAAAGTTTAAAAAACAGCTATGACCATTTTTTATTTCTATTAATTTTGGTTTTCTGCCAGAACCCACTAATGCAACTCTGCTTGTCAGAAAAATTTCCTGTCAGCTTTTACAAGGCCTTGGATGTTTCCCCTCGTAGCCTGACCTGCTGCTACTGAGCTCCTTCCATTTTCTGACCATGGTAATAAATGTCTGGGACAATACAGAATTTACCATCTTGTTATGCCTGGACTGACTAGTAAAGCTCCTTCAACTCCTGTCACGCCAGTGAACAGATGCTTCTCCATGATATATTGGAGATCAGCTGCATCTATGGCAGATGTTTTAAAAAAATGGCCAGGGCTCTGATGTCACCTCCTCCAGAGATCTGAGTCCTCACAGATCTAACCCGTGGTCAGGAACTGGGCTGGGCATGACAGAGGACACGAATGACACCTACTTTAAAAAAAATACATCCTTTGCAAATGAAACGTATTTTGGAACAGCTTCAAACAAACAAACAAACAAACAAACAAACCCAAAGCCACCTGGAAAGCGATTTAGAAATTGTGACCCGTGGACGTTCCTAAGCGTCACTTAGACGATGAAATTGAGTTTTAGCCATCCCACGAGGAAAAGGCACTGCTGTGTTGCCACTTAGGCAGAGGCACGTCTTGGAAAGCCCTGCTCGGAGCCCCCGATCCCACCCGGGATCAGACAAACCAAGGCACAACCTAAGGGACAGTTCGTGTCTCTGCGCTGCTGCAGCGTTTCCCTCTGCGGGGCCGCTGCTGGCTCCGGCTGTTCCCGCTCATTCCCGGGGATTCCCAGCGGTTCCCGGGGATTCCCAGCGGTTCCCGGGGATTCCCAGCGTTTCCCGGGTGGTTCCCGGTTATTCCCGGTCCGTTCCCGGCGCTTCCCGGGCGGAGCCGCCCTCTCGCGGTGGATCTCAGCAGTCGGTGTCACCTCCCAGATCCAGGACTTGAGTGATGAAACTTGGTTTGCAAATACAGCAGTCGGGTCGTGACTAACAAGAGGCAAAGGCTGATGGGGTTGCGGGTCGTGGGCAGTGCCTGTTCTCGGGAATCATTTCTGTGCCTCCCGTCGCTGCCCGAGCGTGGGGAGAGCTGGGAGAAATACCCTGGGAGAAATGCGGGCTGGGAAGCAAGGGACAAAGTGGCCCTGGCTGCCCAGACACCCACAAATGGCACTGAAACGCTGCTGATCCAAACCTGCTCAGCTTCACAGGTGGTGCTGGTGGGTATTTGCCCTCTGCTACCAGCACCAGAACAGAACTCCAGCTCCCAAACAGTGACACCTGTATTTTGGATCATGTCATTTGTGAGCCTGATGCTCTGAAACTGCATCAGAGCCTTGGGGACTCTGTGGTTTGAGGCGGGGGGCAGTGCCCACTCTGCACAACATCCTGAGTGGCTTCACTGTGCCTTTCACACTTCCTTTCTCTCTAAGGCATTTCTTTCCCTCCACAGGAAAACCTGTTCAAATTGCAATGAGCCTGGACATTGCGAGTATTTCCAGCATATCCGAGAGCAACATGGTGAGTGAAAGAGTTTTTATTTTATGAGATAAGAGTGGGACCTGCCTGAGAGACTTGGCCTGTGTTCTGTGACCACAGAAATGGTCACATTGAAGCTACTTTGCTGTTCTGGGCTATTGACCACTTTCAGAGGGGTGATGAAAACAGGGCTGGCTCATTTATGACTGCAGACTGTGTAGATGCCATAGTAATGTGGGCTTGCAAGTAAATAGAAGTGGCTCCAAAGGTCCTACTGGTCAAAAATTCAGCACCTCCTGGAAATCAGGCCCCTTGGAAATGGAAAAAATCAATACTGTGGGGCATTTCCTCTCCCTTACCTTTCCTCCACGAAGGAGCCCTTTGTGTGGGACAGGGATGGGCTCTGTTGGATGTGCTGGCACTGACTAAAATCAAAACTTCATTTCTGCATTTTCAAGACCACCACCACCGCCAATTATGGTTTTTTACCTCCTCCCAACAAAGTAAACAAGTTCACTAAATAAAATATTTTAACTTTGCTAAAGGTATTAATTTTGGGGAAGGAGCAGAACCAACAAAATCAATTATTCACATAACCTCGAACTTAATTGAAGTGCCTTGTAAAATAGACCATGTTCTGGAGTTTTTCTGGATGATCCACCTAAATTTCTTTGACCATATGGGAAATATTGCAGAGGCTCACTCTGTGTCTTGCTCAAAGCTGGAAAATCAACCAGGATTCTTCACTTTTGTCACTACTATAACTCCCTGTATTGAAAGCCATAACAACATGTTGACTTTTTTTTCTTCCATCACAGGCCAAGAGTGTAATTTAAAAAGTTGCAAAAGCTAACACTAATATTCCTTAAATCCTTAGTGCATTTTAAAAATTAGAGATGGAATAAAGCAGAGCTGCTTCATCTTCCAGAGCCAGGAAGTAGCTCTGTGGTGAAACAGTGACTTCAGGCTGCTAACACAAGAGCAGTGCTGGTCTGTCTGTGACAGAGATGTTCTGAAAATAAAAGGCATTGCTGGTTGTATTTACTTGGACTGTAAGGATGGAAGTGAAATAGTCCAGCAGTGCCTGTGTAGGTCCAGAAGGTTCAGCAAAGCATCAGCTTCAGAGCTGAGAGGGTGCTGCTTATTCCTTTCTGCTGAGGCTCTGTGAAAATGCTCCAGTCACTGCAGGTCGATTTTGGCAGGCTGAACACAAGTTAATCCCAGTGTCCTTAGATTCAAAACTCCTATTGAAAGAAAAGGTACCAGTTTAGTTTTTTTCCTTTTTGGGGGGCTTTTTTAAGACCTCAATGAAGTAACAGGTTGGATTCACTTATCTTTTTTCCTCCAGTGCCAGTGTGTCTTTCATGATCATATTTCTGGTGCGTGTGGAATTTCCCAGCTCTAGACAACGACTTACCTGTAATGTCAACGACTTGCTGGGTGGCCTCAAGTGTGTATTTCCCATCTGCTTCCTTACCTGCAAAATTAACACAAAAAATATCAGTCAGAGTAATTGTTTATTTTTTTTTAAAAAGTGCTATAAGTATAATCTTTAATCCTCAAACACCACCACCACCCCCTTAGAATATAGTATTTTACAAATATTACAGAATAAATACAACTGTGCTGGTGTCTGGACATTCCTCCTCACAGGCTCTGCTCTCTCCCCAGGATTACACCGCTACCATCTCCCTGCGGCAGCGCTGGACGGACCCCCGGCTGGTCTTCCACGGCAACAAGAGCTTCACGCTGGATGCTCGCCTGGTGGAGCTGCTCTGGGTGCCAGACACCTACATCGTGGAGTCCAAGAGGTCCTTCCTGCACGACGTCACCGTGGGCAACCGCCTCATCAGGCTGTTCTCCAACGGCACCATCCTGTACGCCCTGAGGTGAGTCAGCCTGTGCTGCAGGGCTGACAGGTCAGAATAGGTTTCCAGAGTCACACTGGGCAGCAGCAGACACCAGCTGCCACGGGTCAATGAGCCTACTGTGACCATACTCTTCCAACCCATTTCTCCCTGTTCTGGCCTCCTGGAAATGCCAGTCAAGGATCGGGATTTCTCATCACGGTATGTGACGTGTCCTGCACGTTGTGCCCACTCAGAAAGCTCACAAGTTTCGGTGGCACCCAAGGAAAGTCAAGTCAGGTGGAGGCAGGGGAGGAAAGGAAGGAGGACATCATAACAGCAGAAGTTTAACTGATAGTGGGAAACTGTTTGTTCATCCAGTGCCATGTAGCAATGACTTCTGTTTTTTACCAGAAACTGTGTATGTCTGTGTACTGCAGGAATGTGCTCTGCAGTTGTGTTGTTCCTACAGTGCTCTGTCTGCTTAGCTCACAGCAACTAGGTCCCAGTTACCTCAACTGCAAAGTAAAACTCATTTACCTCCCCACCAGAGCAAGGCAGAGTATGTGTGCCGTTAGTTAAAGTGCCTCATGCCATAAGGGGTGATGTGCAAGCTGTAAGCACCAGAAAAAAATGTGAGTCTACACCAAATCTCCCACCAGAGCAAAGCAAAATTCCTGCTTGGGTTCCATTTTCATCAGAGTGGCTGCAGAGAGCACATGCTCTGAGTTCATTCCTTTCATAGGCCTAATTCCAGAGCAGAGTCTTTGTGATCCAGTTTGCTATGTGAAACAGCTGTTTCATTACATGCTTTTGTTGCAACTTTCAGAGTTCTTTCTCCTCCTACAGAATCACTACTACTGTTGCCTGTAACATGGACCTGTCAAAATACCCCATGGACACACAAACATGCCGACTGCAGCTAGAAAGCTGTAAGTGTAACATTCTAGAAAACTCTAAATTTGTTTATTCGTAAATAACTGTGTATCTTGAATATTTAGATTCATCACAGCGGCTTTTTGGAGTAGAGTTTTAGTCCTGCAGATACTAGTGTCCAAAATAAACAACTTTTGCATCATCAATTTTCAAATGTTTGTTTTAAAATCCACAGTCCAGAGAACTTCTGTCACTGTGCAGACTATGCAAAAAGAGTGACAATAATGCATATTTTTATTGAAGTGCGGATATTTCAATTTTGCACAGAAAAGTTGCAGTAATATTGGCTGGTTTTCCAAATTTGGTTCCTTTTGAACACACAGCTTCCTCAAAACTAACTTGTGAGGTAAGTGCGTGGGATGGGGTACAGCAAGGAACAACCTCTCACATTTTTAGGTACTAGCACCCTCATCAGCAGAGGAGTCTCTGACTGGGAAGTCTCAAGAAAAGGAATTGTCAGCGAGTTGTGCTCTCAATGAGATTAAAAGCTCATCTGTGGCAATGCTGGCTGAGAAAGGCTCCAGGAACATTTAGGCCACTGCAGGGTTGTCACCCTGGAGCTCAGCCAGCTCAGTGCTGCTGTGGGATGTGAAGCTCCACGACGAGCAGGCTTCGCCTCCTGCTTCATGGCACGAAACCAAACCTCTCAGCACTGGAAAGACCAGCTTTTTAACTTCTGGGGTTGCAGCACGAAGCACCTAGGGAAGCACATATTATTTTCACATTAAAATCGTATTAGTTCACCATGGTTAACTTTATTAGGAAGCACAGCTCCTGAAATAATAATGATTGGCCTCTTCTGCTAAAGCGGAGCTTGTTTGGGCCTGGTTTAAAAGTGATTGGGTCCTACATCATGTTCAGTTGCTGTATAATTCCAATGAAATTACATACACATTGCCCACTGGAGATTTCATTAGGATAAGTGCCCAGAAATAATGCTATTTAAATACACGCCAGATGAATTAACAACAATCTATCATTTATTATAAAATTTTCCTGAGTAACCACGATTTATAAAACCACTTAGAAACTTAGAAAAGTCACATGCTTAGGATTCTACTCAGGGATTCATACTCTGGACACCTAATTTAGGAGTTTATCACGCTCAAGCTCTGGTAATTTGTGTCTAATAAGAAAACACAATTAGATGGAAACAGAGCTGCGACTGCATCTGATTCCTTCTACCAGGACGAGTAGGTTATTACCACAATCACAGCATCCTTACACATGGTCTCAAAGAAAGACTCTCAATAAAATAATGACATCAGTGAGACTGATGGGCTTGTTTCCTAAATTAAGTGAAATTTTTGAAGAGAATGCCAAGCTGGTGACTCAGTACAAGCTTTATCTCTCAGAGCTGAGGTATCCCTTGATCCAACCTGAGGTTATGGCATCACTTACATTCCTGGAAGTACTTACTCGTGTGGTATAGAGGGAGTCCCACTGCTTTGGAGGCAGGCATTTGGTGTTACCTAAATGCCATCAGTAAGTTAATGCCTTTAGGGATAGGAGGAATGATTTGTAGGAAAAGTTGTCTTTATGAGCAAGTTTTCTGGACAATGTATATCCAGTCAAAGGAACCTAGTTCATAACCACATAGCAGTGTCAGCTCTAAGCTTCTGACTGACTGAAAATGCATTTTCTCCTATTTTTAGGCACTTGAATAGGTGATTCAGTGAAATATGCTTCTGCTCCTTGGTAAGGGGCTCAATGGGATCTGAAGTCACTATTTTTAACCTCTGTGTATCTCCTGCTCTCCTCTCGGACTGAAGAGACTACGTTTGAGGGTTAATTGCTGGTGTTTAATCCTGCTGCACGTAATCAAGCTGTGCATGACAGCAATAGATTATCTTTAAATCAGGAATAACCCCATTTAAGGGTAAGGATTGAAATCCCAGGAAAGGATTGAAACAGATTCTCTGCAGTCTTGCATGTTGTGTGTCATTCCCAGAGGCACGTGTTCCTGTTGAAATCTGGACTAACAGACAAAATGAGAGCCCAGCCAAGGTCCACCCGTGGTCTGACGCGGCTCAGAGGGCCTTTGTCCAGCCTGCAGTGCCTGCATCACGTTCTGTTCCCCCTCAGGACACAGAGCAGGGCAGCAGCCAGGCTTTTACAGGCTAAACCACAGTCAGACAGGTCTCTGTGTTCTCCTTAGGGGGCTATGACGAAAACGATGTCACCTTCACGTGGCTGAGAGGAAACGACTCCGTCCATGGCATGGAGAAGCTGCGGCTCTCTCAGTACACGGTGCAGCGTTACCACACCCTGGTCTCCACCTCACAGCAGGAGACAGGTAAAGCTGGGGAAGAAAAAGGCAAGGAAAGCTCTTGGGTATTTCCCATCACATCTCCACACGTGCTGGAAGAAACCCTCTCCCTTCTTTCTATAAATACTGGGGAGAGCAATGTTTACAGTAACTGGGAGTAAAATTAACTTTTAAAATATACTTTAGTTTGTAAATTACAATTCTATCATGATGGAATAACATCTCTTTGTACATCAGAATTCAATGTCTTTCTTGTTATCAGTGTAAATACTCTTCTCTCCAATCACAGACACTGTGAAAAGGGGGCAAAACTCCCTTAGAATTACCAGGTTTTAAAAATAACAGTGTTTTGTTCTTTTGTTGTGTACACGGCCCATGAACAACACAGACTTTGTTTCTACATTTCAAAGGGAGCTATTGTTTAAACAGCAGAACTACATCCTGAAAACACTACTGATCCAGCCCCAGAACCCTTATGTCAATATTTACAAATAATTGATTTTAAAAAATTGACTGAATTTTTTTGAGCAGAAAAAGATACAGTTACCAAAGACTATGAATTACTAATGAAGACAGGGTATCTAATTCCTTGTGATGATACAGTACTGGGATGCTTTGGGATGTGAGCCAGAGCCTGCTGAAAACGAGAGGCAAATGTTTTGTCTGTTTCTCAGCCATCAGATAAGGCTGAACTCGGCAATGCCCCTTCAGAGCAGGTGTTGGGAACAGTGCACTGTGCTGAGTGTGAGAGAACAGGTGACAGCACCAGCCCTGCTCTGCTCCCTGTTAAGGCACTGGTGTAAATTGTTTCCATTGGGGCTGAAGCCCAGGAGCCCCTTTGCAAACCCTGCCTTGTTGGGTGTCCCTGTCCTGTCAGTGCTGTGGGTCCTCTCGTGGGGGATGTGTTGGCTCAGTAAGCCCCCTGAGGTGTAAGCAGGGCCTCGATCGTGGTGTGGCTCTGCTGAGCTCCATCCCCCAGGGCTGGTGCTGGGCTGTTCCAGTTTTACTTCAGGTGTCCTTGGGAATCTCATGTTGGCTGAGTTTCTTCCTTTCATGATCAGGCAGGTACCCACGCCTGATACTACAGTTTGAGCTGAGAAGAAATGTGCTTTACTTCATTTTGGAGACCTATGTGCCCTCCACTCTGCTCGTCATGTTGTCCTGGGTTTCTTTTTGGATCACATTGGACTCAGTGCCTGCAAGAACCTGCATTGGTGAGTTATTGCCTGAGGAATGGAGATGACTAAAGCAGGCAGGGCAGCCTCTGAAGGTTGGGTAGAAGGTCCTTTTCTTGAGCTCTCTGCTCAGGGATAAATAGTCTACTCACCTTCTGCTGTTGCTTGGGGCAGAGTTGGGTTAGCATGGAGGATGTGCTGCAGCAGGAACACATGTCCATCTGCCAAGGTTCCCAGGAGATTCACAGCAGAGAGTAGAGAACAGAGCACACATTCTTTGTGGTGTGCTTTGGAGGGCGCAGGATGGGGGAATTTTTTACTGAAGGCCAGAAAAAGAAGAGAGCCAAGTGCTTATTGGAGCCAAGTTGTCAACAGCAGGGAGAGCCTGTGTGGAGCTTGTAGCTAGTGCTACTAAAGCATGACAGTGACTGTTATGGATGATTTGGATTTGGTAAGAAGTGATGCGAGCAACAACATGAGCAGAAGGGTAGGCCAGGACTTTTCCAAAGAGTCCACAAGAGAAGGTATCTCTTTTTCTGCTTTCCCAGGAGTTACAACAGTGCTTTCCATGACGACTCTGATGATCGGCTCACGGAGTTCACTTTCAAAAACCAACTGTTTCATTAAGGCCATTGATGTTTATCTTGGCATCTGCTTCAGCTTCATCTTTGGTGCCCTTGTGGAATATGCAGTGGCTCACTACAGCTCATCACAAAAGTGTGCAGCTAAGGTACCTCAAGAGGTAAGGTCTGATAAGCCCAGAGAACTTGGATTGACAGCAATTGGTTCTCCATTAACTGAATAAGACAAATGGTGTTCCTGTTACAGATACATTAACACTGGCTTCTCCTAAATGGCACTAAATCTTTATTTCTGTGTGCAGCAAGCACGTGAATAGCTCTTGAGCACTGTGTCTCTGACAGACTCATGAGCAGCAGCCTCAGCTGACAGTCATTTTGGGTTCATCAGACCACATTCAGGAGGGCACTTTGGCCTGCCACTGGAATTGGGTCTGTGGCCCTGAGCTCATGTGAGCATGAGGCACCTCTGCTCCTTTCAAAATGCAGAACAGAAGACCCAGTGTAACACACCTCTTTGCTCTCCTATGGAGTAACTCTGATTAGGAAGGTACTTTGCTCTTTTTTTACAAAGGAAAGATGAACCCTTCTTCCTCCCTTCCCAGAAGACACTACCAAACATCAGTCCCACCACATTCTTGGGACTGAGAGAGTGAATTGTTCAAATGCTCTGCTTTAGTGTGAGAAATCAGTCAGCTATGTCTAGCTGACATCAAGTCCAGCAGTCATCAAGGACCCAAATCCTGTCAGGGGGAAAAGAGGTTTCCCACTTCAATGCTGAGTTCCCCAGCCACTAAGTTACTGCACAGACACGAAGAGATGGATGTCCAGGAGGAGATGCATGTTAGGTTGCTCAGTGACAGAGTAAGACTTGCTCAAGGTCTAAAAATACCTCTAGAAATACAGTGGTGGAAATACAGCCCTCTCTGGGACCTCAGGCCCTCCTAAAAATGGGGAGCAGCTGAAAGGTGTGTTAGAGTGGATGACCACATATGACCACTCTTTTATCTTTATCCTTATGGTTTCCTTCCTCTGCAGGAAAAGACAGACTTTAACTGTGCACTCTCGTTTCCTAGGGGCCAGCAAATGAGCTCACTAAAGAAATGGAAGAAGTCAACATCACTAACATCCTCAACAATTCCATCACCAGCTATAAACAGCAAATCAGCTTCACGAGCATTGAGATTTCCAGTGATAATGTTAACTGCAGTGACCTGGCTATGAAAAGTCATGAGAAAATCAAATGCGTCTTGAGGAACAAAATGCACAGGATTATTGGTTATTTCACAATTCAGAACCCTGGCAATGTGGACCACTACTCCAAATTGCTTTTCCCTTTGTTTTTTATGCTGGTCAATGTGTTTTATTGGGCTTACTATCTCTATTTTTAGTAGAAAGTAGTTGCTTCATTCTCCTGCTTCAGCAGGAAAGGAGTCGAGCCGATGGGTGTCCAGGTATCTAACATCAGTGAATTCAGCGTGGACAAAATGCTTGTGTCCTGGGGTACCCAGACTGTGTGAGGTGTGCAGGATCAACACTGACTCTGGACAGCAGCTGCTCAGCTGGGTGGCTGTGCTGGGCCCCTGTGCTCGTACCTGTGTTTCATTCCAGCACCTCACCTGGCCGGAGATGGGCGTGCAAGGACTGCACTGACAGACCGCTACAAGTGGCAGAATTATTCTAGTAGCCTGGCAGCAGGCTGGAATCTTCAAGTTTAGATCACCAAGAGGATGTGTGGGATTATAGCTGCTATTCTTTGTTTGCCAGAGATAACAGAGGGGCTGTGATCGCTTCCTCAATAGCTGCTGTGTTGCGGTGAGAGCCGGAGCGCATCAGCACTCTGTGTGCTGTGTGCTGTGTGCTCAGGGATGTTCCTGGGCCTGGTGCTTCCTGGGGACACGCAGTGCCAGGCTGGGGATTGCCCTGCTGCTGGCTGTGGTGTGCCTCAGTGCTTCTAACACCTGCCACTCGCTGAGGTGATCCTTTTGTTTTCAGAGATTTGGGAACGCAAAATAGAGGCAGCAAAGCCGTTTGGTAACCCAGCTCTTATAGCCCTCCTGCTGTGCTGCAGTTGAACAGATTCTACCAACCACCTTCCATGTCTTCCTCACACATTGTTTTTCATCCTGGAGAGTTTTTCCTTCAGCTTTCACTGCTATCAGCAGCTCTCTCCTTTCTTGCCAGCCGTAGGCTCGAGTGGCCCATTTGTCACCCCCTCTTTTATGTGGCTGTGCAGCTGTGGCAAGTCAGTGCTGCTGGGTGAAAAACAGGCGTGGGCTGAGGGTGGGCAGTCTAAATCACCCTTTCACTCTCTATTTTGGGCTGGAAAAGTGTTCCCTTTTTGCAGAAATTCAGATTCTAAGTGGGCTCTGGAAACTACCCAAGGTCAGCTTTGTTTATCCCGCAATCAGCAGGACCCAGAGCTTTCTTTTACAGGTAAATTAAATGTGGCACACACACAGTTATGTCCCATTTGGTACTGTGCAGCTTAAGGCTACTGGAAGTCTTTATTTCCTGGTTATAAAATTAACATTTTATGGCAGATTCCCCCCTGAATGGACCATGCTACTCTCAGAACTGGGAGGGGGTAATCCTGGAGTTATACTGGCAGGACTGGAACTGCCTGCAATGGCCACCATTCAGCACAGTGAGGCCTCTCAGCAGGCAGCTTTTATTACAGTCTTAGCAGTGTTTGCTTAGTGTAAGAATCTCTTACTGGGGGTTCCTCCACAAGGTGGGCAGAGCACACAAAACTATAGATTTTTTACTTTAATAACTTTTTATTGAACCACTTCACTGCACTATATTGTGAGGGATCTAAACCTCATATTCATAAATCACAGCTTTTACAAAAAGCAGCACGAGAAAACAAAGGGGAACAGACTGACAATGGCAAGTGAATAAACACAAACTCCAATAATGAAATGTTGTCTTGTATATACTGGCATTTAAAGTCCATTCCATAAAATGTAATAAAGTGAATGTTTGTGATATGAACACAATCCCCCAGAGAGATCCTCTATTAAAAAAATCATTACCTTTTTTCTGTATCAGATTCTTTCTTTAAAACACAACTAAAATGCCCTAATGTGCTCCAACCACCAAATATTAATGTTAACAAAAGGAATTTCTTTGTACAAAGCCCTCCAAGATCATCGAGCCCCCCTGACACTGCCAAGGCCACCACTAACCCATGTCCCCAAGTGCCACATCCTCACTGCTTTTAAATCCCTGAAGGGATGGGGACTCCACCCCCACCCTGGGCAGTCTATTCCAATGCCACCACCCTTCCAGGGAAGAAATTTTCCCCAATATCCAATCCAAACTTCCTCTGGCACAGCTGGAGGCCGTTCCCTCTCCTCCTGTCCCTGTTCTCTGGGAGCAGAGCCCGACCCCCCCTGGCTCTCCCCTCCTGTCAGGGATTGCAGAGCCAGAAGGTCCCCCCTGAGCCTCCTTTTCTCCAGGCTGAGCCCCCCCAGCTCCCTCAGCTGCTCCTCATCAGACTTGTGCTCCAGACTCTTCCCCAGAAAGGCCTTTTCCAACCTGACCAATTCCATGATTACAATAGAGAGCCCCCCTCAAGGCTTGCTTTCATTACCTGCAGCTTTTGTTACAGCTTTGCTGTTTTCACATTGTTCAGGACTTGTTTAAGTTACACCTCTGTGCACTTTTTGGTGACCCAGCCTAGCCAACAGCATATTGTCTTCAAAAGTGTCAGCTCTGTCTATTCCAATTTATTGCTGATTTTGGCAACTTCAAGAAGGAAAGAAGGGACAGAAGGCAGTAGGGGAAGGAGGGTTTTTTCCAGATATTCAGATACATTCATATGAGAATCAGCCTTTTCCACAAAGAACTGGTATGTAACACATAATCTGCAGTGAGGACAAAGCCACAGGTTAAGCCCTGCACACAGCTCTGTTTTGTTCAGCCTTACACAGCTCTGCAGGGAACAGGAAGGGGTTTGAGTGGCAGCCTAATCTTCGGAAGAGCTTCCAAGCAGATGGTTCCTGTGCCCGGAGCTGTTTCACCTCCCACTGAACACATCTGCCCTAGAGCTCTGAGGGAGCTTGGTCGAGGACAGAGTTATCCCCAAGGTTTACTGTTTCACTGTAAATTCCGCTGTTTACAGGGTGCCGGTTTGTTTCTGCTCTTGGCAGAATGGGAATGTACTGAGGAAAAGACTGACTGGCTTTTTGAGATAATTCTGCATTGCAGTGATAGTTCTGGTCTGCAGAACCTTGCCTGAAGCTGCAGCTTCTGGAATCTTTGTCTCTTTTTAAGAACATTTGCTCTCTAAGCCTTTGAGGACAGATGCTTGTGAATGTTGACATGGGGAAGCAGGATGGACAGGGAGCAGCATCAGGCAACTTGAGGCGCTTGCAAGAGATGCAAATGCTTGTAACCCAGAGGAATGTAAAGCCTCAGAATATGCTCTGAAGAGTCACCCTAGCTGGCAACCAAAAACAGTCTAGCAACAGCAGCATAAAGCACTTTGGGGATTAATTTATCCAGTAAAATATGAAGGAGCTGCACTGTAGAGGAGAGCTAGAACAGGCTGACAGTGGCTATGTGCACCCCTCCTCTAGAGCTAATAGACATCTCAAGGTGGGGAAAGCACCACATTTTAGTACAGCCCAACATTCTTTCTGTGCCCTCCACCTGTTTTTCTCCTCACTGTTCTTGTGCCCAGTTCAGCCAGCATAAGCAATAAGCAGGCACTGGTCCTGCTGCAGCAGCCACCAATCTGAGCTCACAGTGTTATTTTTCACTTTCAGGAGGATAAAGGGCTCAGTGCAGGAATCCTGTCATTTCAGAGCATGTGGTTTACATTAACATTTCCAAGAGGTATTTGTATACACAAACAGTACCATCTGCTGAAAGGAGTACTCTGCATTTTCACAAGGTTAATTCCATTTCAAACCAAAGTGACTGAATTGGTAGCATAAACCAGTCTCACTTGCTTACAGGAGTTAGTGTCCCAACACTAACTAACACAGCCAGGCAGCAAGCCACATCTTTACAAGGAAAGACTGTTGACTGCTGGTACTTGGCACAAGTTTTCTCAAAGTTCTCACTGATATAACTTTTCTATTCATTAATGAATAAAAGCTGTTTTAAATTACAGCCTGTTGTTACACCTGAGATCAGCCAACGGGCTTCTTGTTAATCTGGGGTAAGTGTTAAGACTGTAATGAATAATTTGATGCATTTTCTTTCTTTCTCCTTACCTTTCTCAGATCTTTGTCTCAAACCCTGCAGTTTTTCACAAAGTTCCTGTAGTTTCAAGCTCTTTTGAACTGCTTTATACTCTCTTGGCAGTTCACCAGGAGAATTCAATATTGAACTGCAGGCTCCTTTGACTGGGCCCAAAAATCTGTTATGTCTTACTTTCTTCATCAGATTAGATCAGATGATTGCAAACCAGAAATCCATATTTTGGAGCTGACATTTGGGTGCTCATCCCTGCTAGGAAGCTAAATGAACAAGAAGAGTTATGAATTGTGAACAGGGAAGAGGAAGCAAATTTAGTTCTTGATATGGAGTTGCTTTTTTTGCCCTCCAAAAAGAAAAGCTTTTGTATAACATCAGTGAACTCCCCTGGGAGATGGCAGATCCTATACCAAGGTAAGTGTATACTGACACAGCTCTGAAACAAAAGAGAGTTTCAGACCCAGGGTGTACCAGCACAACAGCGTCCTGAGTGCTGCCTTTCAGGACAGGGCTTCAGCAGGACCTGCTGGGCAGCTGCATCTGCTCAGCACTGAACTGTCTGCAAGTCTGACCTGAGAACGTGGTGCTCTGGAAGCCTGTGAATCCAGAATTCACCTGGTTTTGGTCTTTCCAGTGTGTCACAGGGGGTTTATTTTCAGTCACACTGGAGAGTCCCTCCCTTTACCCAAGCCTCTACCAGAAGAGGTTTTTGAACGGAAATGGCCTGTATCTGTTTCAGTGTGGGTTTTTTTTAGTTCCACTAAATTACAGAACATGTACAGCTTTGTTAATTTGGTGTTCTATGATGTTTTTATTGTGTTGAGACCCCTGGAAAACAAATCCTCAGACTTCAGAGAACACGGAACTAAAGCTCCACAAGTAGAGTCAGACCATGCTCTCAACACTGCTGTAAGACCAAGTCTTCCCACCAGCCCAGAACTTTGAATTTATCCAGTTTGAGATATACACTCACCTGCAATGCCTTGTTTTAAATATAGAAATTACTTCCCACCCCCTTTCCCAAGGAGACAGTAAGATTTGTCTTTATACTCTTGGCTCAGATTTTCCCAGAGATGTCCTGCCTTCATCTTTTGCTGCAACCACAAACATGACTGGGTGTACCTTTGCCTCGTGCTGTGGCACAGGAGAGCAGCCAGGCACTGTCCTCTCCCCTCTACTGCTGTAAAAAGAGCAATGCCCCCCTGCAGCATCACTGCACACCTTTTAACTGGTGTTTGTCATAAGCTGAGGGAGGCACACAATAGAAAGCCTCTTTAGTGCAGACATAGATTCAGGTCAGTTGTCATGAAATGTACTGACAAAACCAAGATCAGACCAGCCCTTCAAGACTACTTGTGCTTTCAGACATTTAGTTTAGAACAGCATTTAACAAAACCATTCTGACTTTCAGTGCACACACAATGTTTGTGTTTGGTGTGTCCAGCCACGTTGCAGCTGGAATAGACTGAGACTTCTAAGGGTGCTCCATCAGCCTGGGAGAAAAACAATCCCAAGTATGCCCTGTTGGACAGGGACAAAGGTATCTGCCCTGCCAACTCAAACAGGAAGCCAGCTTAGCTGAAAGCAAGCACAGGGTGAAATCCTGAGCACATTTAAGCTAATGGGAGTCTGGCTACCAATTTAAATGGAACAGGCCTTTACTTCTTAACTCGTGCTCACACAAAGTCTTTATTCATATTCCCTCACTTAACGCCATTTCCAGCCTCCATGACTTTTATTAGGAATAAACATGCAAAGCTAAGAGCTATCCCAGATGAGGTACCCTTGGTACTGTGACCCTGAGAAACATCAGGATGGTAAAGGGGACAAGAGTAGTGCTGGGCTTGTAGAGATTGGCCAATCCCCCCCCAAGTGCCCTGCCCTATCCTGACCCCAAGAGCACAAGCATTAATGAAAGCAAATATCCCTAGACAAGCTCCATCATCCCAGAGGCACAACATGGTTGCCAGCATTTGTGACATTGATTTGTTTGTTTGTTTTAACCTCCAACTATTCAAAGAATCACAGAATACTCTGAGTTTGAAAGGGCCCATCAGGATCATCCAGTCCAACTCCTGGCCCTGCACAGGACACCCCAACAATCCCACCCTGTCCCTGAGAGCGTTGTCCAAACCCTCCTGGAGCTCTGGCAGCCTTGGGGCTGTGCCCACTGCCCTGGGGAGCCTGTTCAGTGCCAACCACCCTCTGGGGGAAGAACCTTTTGCTGAGATCCACCCTGAGCCTGCCCTGACACAGCTCCAGCCATTCCCTCAGGTATTGAGATGACTGATATTGTCTGGAGATTACTCCTTCATGACACCCTCTGGAGGCAAGAACACAAAAAGCCCAGGGTGCTGATCTGCAGAATTCTTTGATGCAGTCCTGTCTGTCTGTAGACAACACACAAAGTCCTGAGAAAAGCAGGAAATTAAACAGCAAGAGGCAATACCTGTGCTCTCAGCCCTTCTTCCAGGGCTAAGTACTGCTCCTCCAAGCTTGTCTCAAGTGATGCCTTCTGTCCTTATTCACTCTGAAGATTTCTCCTGTCCCCTCTCACGACTTCCACCTCCTCCTGATGCATAAGTCATGGGTGCCCAAACCATCTAAATCCAGCAAAGCCCCCATCCCCACACACAGCCTGCACATCCCATCCTCTGGACAGCATCTCTTTGAAGCTCTCTGATCACAGATGAACATAAATGTTTGTCAGAAGTGTTAAATTTTGGAACAATTCCAAACAAACTGAAAGCACAGTGGTGGCAGGCAGATTCCTGCTCTCCAGCTTCATTGCTGG